ACGTGACAGGTACGTACGCGAGACGCGGCACAGAACAAATAGCGCCTGTGTACACGCAACCGATGATGTCTGGAATGCGCGTTGTATTATCAATTTGCAGGCGCAATTACGTAATATTTAATTTTGCTTCTTTTTTTCTTTCCTTTAAAATTTCACCACATAGGTACTTTCTTGTAATCGGAGAACACGTTATGAAAAGTAACGATGATTTTTTGATCAGTTTTTTTAATTTAAAAAAAAATTTTTTCTTATGAATCCTTCAAACGGGCGAATGCTGGATTCAGATTTATAAATTGTGATTGAGAAAAATTATGCAGGAAGTTACAAATTCAAAATGATCTCAAAATTGAATAAATTTTTTTAGAAGATTTTAAAGAAATTATTTTATTTTTACTTCAAATTATATTTCTTATATTTATTTTTTAAAATTATATTTATATTTATTTTATGTTAGTCATATTTTTGTAATTATATTTTATTATTTATATTTATATTTATTTTTTCTAATTATATTTAAAAAAAGCTGCCATCCCTTAACGATGTGAAATTATGTAAATTTAGTTTGAAGATTTCAATTTAAAAAAAAAAATTGTTTTATTTCTATCGAGTATATTTTATTTTTGGTCCACAATATTTTTTAATAGCTTAAGTGAATAACACAACTAAGATTATTTCAATTATATTATCGATTGGTATTATTTGATATTTTCAAGTTTTAATTTTATCCACATTAAAACCAAACTTAAAATGATTTATTAAACATTTATTAAACATTAAAGCCAAACTAATTTAAAAATATTAACAAGTAAGAATTATTTTATGTGCTGGTAAATTTTTTGCATAAATCGTAAAATTATAGAATCTATATTGTTTTTAATTAATTTTTCGTCATTTTAAGAGCAGATTTGATCTAATTTGTTATTGGAAATGAACTTTTCCAATTAAATATTTTTATTTTTTTTCAACGGATTCTTGTTTTCTATTATTATGTAATTTTAATATAATTCTATTATTATATAATTCTTATTCTCTATATAATAATTAGAGAGAAAAATGAATGCACTTATGATGTATATTATAATGTAATATTTTTACGTTTATTATCATGATATCACAACGTGATAAAAGACATATTATTATTAATATTTTTTTATTTACTCATAAAATACAAATTTAAACATGTCTAAACGTATTGAATGTTACAAATACGTTTAAAAACATTTATTATATCCGTCTTCATCTTATCGACTTTTGTTTATCGATCGGTCTCAATGGATCCAACATTCGCCAGGCGATTAAATAATTTCCTCGATTCGAGCACTACATCAAAAATCTCTTCGCAATCAAAATTCCATTTAATCAAAACGTACGAATGTTTTCATCTAGAATTGGAAATTATCGTACGACTATTTTTTTAAACGAATATTATGCAACATTTCCAAATGCTTATTATTCGCATCAGTATTTAAATATCCAATTATACGCGCATAATTGTCGTAACAATTTCAAAGCAAAGAGTACAAAGTTTTGCGTTTTCCTCGAATATCTTTTTGCAAATACATTCGCAATATTAGTAACATGTAATATAACGATGCTGAATACTTTTCATACCGAATAATAGAAACAGTATTAAAAAGTTTAGACGAATTACAAATGAAATCATAGTACAGAAAATATTCGTACGCTTGATGGAAAATTTTCGATATTTTTAACTTTTAACATAATATAACGACGAATTTTAAGGGATTGCTTTATAGGGAAGAGTTCTTTTCCACTTATTTTTGAAGATAGAATAACTTATTATTTATGTTTATTATTTATTCCTAATCAACTCAAAATTAACCAAATTAATTTTAAATATAATTATTAATAATTATTAAATATAATTTAATATAATTAAGAATGAAACTTAATTTTCTCATAAACAATAAATGACAAATTTTCTCATAAACCCTAAATGACAAAATTTTATTCTTTTTCTCTGATTTATTTTTTCATATAGAATCATTCCCTATCTGATAACATATTTTTCATTTAATATCAGCTATGAAGGTCTGTAACCTAATCTTACAAATTAGAACTCTAATTTTAATAATAAAAAAAAAAGAAACTCGCAAGACATTTAGTTTGTGATTGCAAAGTGGTTAAAATTTTCGCAAATATTTCATGAATATTTAAAAATATTTAAAAATAATTTCACTCGGTCATTCATACAATTGCGAAAGAAATATACAGTACGGTTAATATAATAAAAATCAAAACAAACTCAAATTGCGAATGTATTTTCGTGACAAGGGTGATGGTGTGACAATCTGATATGTAAATGTCGCGTTGTTTAAAAAAAAATAAGGCTTATTGCATAGAGGATTGTAAAATAATGTCACAAGGATTTTCGTGTATAATTTGATACGAAATAGTAATGAAATTATTCTATTCGAACAAAGATATTTAATGTTAATTTAATCTACAAAGCTGCTTATTAAATTGCGAATTTTTATTTATGTAACAAGCACGCAATGCATCTAACATGCAAAAATAGATAAAATACCTGAAATTGAGTGCTTATTATACAATAGATAAAGTAAATTTCTATTCAGGTTCTATTACTTCAGTTATGTACATTAACAAAAGTGCATAGGAATCCACAATTTACGTTCAAGGAAATTGCAAAGTATTTTTTAAAATTTTAGCATTAATATCAGCGACTGAAATAGAAAAATTGAAA